CCGTAAGATTGATCAGTATCTAATTTCTCCTTACATTGTCACCCCCTCAATCACACATCAGGGTCATGAGAATAAAGCAAATGATCTCATCCTAACCAAAGCTCTTGAGTTTTCAACATCTTCTCCTTGTCATCAATCCCTTGGAGTTGTATGGAGAACAGTAGGGAGAATAAGCGTACTGAAAGCGTATAAAGGATTAATTAGTTCTTATTAACCGAGCGGGAGGTCTGTATGGGAGAATCTTGACCGAGGTCGCCAGTACAGACCGAACGCAGTGAGGTCTGTACCAGCGACCGAGGTCAAGATTCTCCCATACAGACCGACCTAGCTCGGTTAATAAGATGTTTATTATATGGCTGTGTCTTATATGCCAATTTTTTTATATTCTTTGTACCTTTTTTTTCTAGACCAGTCTAGATGCCGGTCTAGATGGGAAAATCTAGACCGCTTTCAATATTGATTTCAGCCAATCAAATTCGTGAATTCGGTAGTTCCCAGTCCTTGTGAGACACGCCCATGTAATAATAAGGGTTATTAATAGTAGTTATTAGTAACAACTTCGCGTCGAGCAATTATACTTGAAAAAAATCCTCTTCCTGCCACTTTGTTTTAGTTCTTTTCCTCTCATGTTATCGCTGTCTTATCGGAGTGAAGAAATAATTATCGAGTACTGAGGGATAGCTTGTTCTTTATTGATTGTATCTTACTAGTTGGAGAGCCTATGGGAATTTTTAATTCCTCTCTTGAGAAAAGCCTTGTCTGTCGTGAACGTCGAGACCTTAGAAGACTGGGGCACTTGTATGGCAACTGCTGTGGTGAGACTCTCAGGATTAATTTAACTTATGTGATATCTCTAAAGAATAGAAAAGAAAAATGATGTTAAACGTAAGATCAGCATACTGTGCCAAAACACCTCTATATGTTTGGTAGTAGTGATGGTTACCCGAAGTAGCAAAATAGACAAGAGGAGATTCACCACGTTACCGGTTTCGGCTAATCGGAATCAATAATGAGTTATATTTAATTCACTTTTTATCTGATTGGTTCAGACTGTTCACGTAGGAAAGTCTCTTCTTCTCTTATTGGCTACGTTGTCATTAAGAGACTATAGCTGTTTGAAATTTATGTTAAATAATCTATCTTGCTACAGGAGAATCAGGATCCACGCCGAATTCATCGCTTTTTAGAAATGTTACTTGAAGACCCTTTGGATGATCAACGTGGCTCCTTCTCAGATTCAAGGTTAGCTGCTTTATTCTGATTCGTTTTTTGCTCACAAAGCGGCTGTTTTTGCTGAATATTTCTCCTGGCACGTAGTGTAGAATACAGATGCACCAGTCGCACGAGCCTCTCGCCTATTGCTACTCGCCCTACATTCATTCAAAAATACATTCATCTGGGTTTTGCCGTTTGCTTTAAACGTCTCGTTATTTAAGTATTGAATGTAACTTGTGTGTGTTCTTGTTCCTTTTCAGTCGTTTGTACTTCATTCAAGGAGCGTTATTTCAGCAGGAATGGCGTGTTCCTGATTTGTTACACCGGCTGATGAGTGTGTTAGAGCATCATCTCAACCATCCCTACAAGAACGTGCGTGATCGACTGGGAAGGTAAGTGAGCTCAAGTTCTTTGAAAAGCTTCGGACTTGGCAGGGCACTTGGAAAATAATGGGGGCAATCGCACCGAGATTATCACCCAATACCTCAACCCGGGAAAGTTTGTGCACTCGACATTCGAGGTCATACTCGTCTCTAGGCTTCGCTACCCAGAGAGCCTGCCTTGTTGGGTTACGATACAAACTCAATTTGCAAAATGAAAATTTGACTGGAAAAGAATCTTCACATGTTGTATACCATCAGTTGATTCAGGCCGCGAAAGAGAAGAAATTGCCGACACACTCTCCAATCCAACTAGTCAGTCGTGTTTGATCCCCTCTGCCCAGTGATCTCTGCTCAGCAATCGCTTTCGCCATGTCATGAATGATGATACCCAGAGTAAAATATGACACTCGTTTAATGTAGCTATTTAACAAAGATGACAACGTATTGGAGTTGGTCACATTCAAGTAGTGTTCAGTCGCATATTTATGTTTCTCATATACCTGAATGGTAGAATGGTAATCATAGTTATACTTCTGAAGATGAATCTGTGCTGATATTTTTGGTAGAGGCGATAATGCTGAATGAACCTAATTTTCTTAGCAAATAGGAGAAATCCTAGGAAGAGCAGTTTTCTTTCTTTACTCTTAAATTCTTACGAATGTCAGCTTAAATATATTCTACAGTACTTGTGAAATGCTCGTTTTCGATGATAAGGAGTTAGTCGTCCTTAGGTTTTGAATTGAATAAAAGAATGAAACAAAGGAAAGATGGAAAAGAATATAAAAGGGAAAGATAGAAAAAGAAAGAAAGTGGAAGAAATCGCTGGTCAGAAGACACAAGTAATTCTCAAGTTAGAACTGAACTCCGCACCATTTTCGTTTGCGAGAAAATGACCATTTATTCTTCTGGAAATTATGCGGAGCATCATGCTTAATGCTATACAAAGAAATGACCGTTAATTTGCTTCTTTACTGTCTCGTTTTCAGTGTTCTATGCAGTGCTTTGATGTACGACCTCAAGTTGCGTAGCACGGTACCTACCCGCTCTCCAAACAGGAAGCAGTTTTTTAGCAAGATACTTCCGCAACTGGCGGGACTACAAGAATTAGCGCGTGAGAAAGAAATCATGAGCGGAAGTGATGTCAGTGTAACAAATTCAGAGGAGACTGGAAAAGAGAAAGTAAAGGATGGGTCACTTGAAAGTGCTGAGAGAAAGGAAGCCATCAAGCGACTAAAGACAAGTAAGATCTTACGACGTTTGATCATAGACTGCCCTTGCATTTTTGTATTTTTTCCTTCTTCTTCTTCTTCTTCTTTATATTATTATTATAATTATAAATATTATTATTATTATTTATTTTTTTTATTATTGTTGTTATGATTATTATTACTTTTCCACGTGCATTTTTGCTGGCTTTTTCTAGAGCTGGTCACATTTTGTTTCATTGTTCGTTTTTAACTTTACACAACTCGCCTCATGAATGAATACGGCTAAATTTGTTTTGTTTTTTTTTTGTTTCTTCAGTGACAAACTGGCTTTTATCACACGCTGTTCGCTCTTTAAACAGTTGTCCTGAGGAATTCTTTGACCTTCTTCCTGTGGTGAGCAATCTTAAATTATATTCCTTACATTATATGGATAAGGTTCCTTTTCAACCAGTCAAGTTGAAGTTTTTCGTTGCTAGTTGAATGAAAAGGATTTAGTAGGCGGGATGCTAGTGTTGACTAACGTACAGTTTACGACCATAACTCGCAACTCGTGTGGTAAAATACGTAGGAAATGCTGCTCAAACTATAAACGATAGTGGAACTAAGTTTTGTTCTCTTTGTTTTTAAAAAGCTCCAACAGAAAAAGTGAAAAATCTATCTTTTTCGCAAAAATGGACAATATTTTTGCATGATTATTTTCAGACATTTGGTTGGTGAGTTAACCTTGTAACCCCGTAAGAGTGACTAGCGTCTAATTTCTCCTTAAATTTTCAACCTTGAATTAAACATAAAGGTCATGATTAAGACTGAAATGTTCTCCAATTTCAAAAGCTCTTGATTTTCATTCAAATTCTTCTTGTCAGCACTATAGGAAATGTAAAGAGAACAGTGTGGAGAATGTGAATGAGAATGATGAGAATGTGAGTGTGCAGGGGATTAAATGAAGGACTTTTCCTTATGACTTTGCTGAAAGTTAACTGAATACCCATTTCATATGTTTCCTAACAGATCATTCTTTTCGACTCTCAAGAAGACGACCCCGAACTACAACACTATTGCCACAGGGTAAGTGTAACCTTGAGACTCCCAGATGAGGTTAACAACTAATTTATCCTTACATTGTCTATTCATCATCCAGAAAACAGTTACTGAGAAACAGACAACATATCAGGGAGAGGGTAATATTTTTCAACTTTGATATAACTTCACATTCTCTAAGCTTGTTATCAAGGACGTGTATGGCATCAAGAGAGTGCAACTTCGAAAACAAGGAAAGGCTTACACAAGAGATAAAAACGTCTTTCTTGTGTGCATGGAAAGTCTCTTTACTAGGGACTCAAATGGACCCCGTTGGTGTTGTTGCTTGGTTTTTCTTTTTCCACACTGATGTTGCCTGTATCTCCTTTCTATGTAGACCATTACCTACTTATCTCAAATGGAGCTGCCATTTAGTTTGATTCCTGTAGCGTTACAGACAGTCAAACAGGTAGGCTACAACTCACAATCTCTCTGGTACCAAGTTATTCTCATTTGTCACAGAACAAGAAAGAAAACGCCGCTCGACATTTTAAACGATCTCGTAATGTTCTTTCTCATTTATCGCTTATCCAAAACAACTGAAGAACAATCCAAGGTTCTTAAGCATGGCCTGTTGCAACGGGCAGTGACTAGTGTAATGAGGGAATGATTAAAGACCTACCTAAATCTAAGTGAAAAGATACAAGTAAACACATTACTCAAACTACTAGGAGAGAAACAACGAAATTAGCTCCAGATGATGAAATGAAGCCCTCTGTACGTCCCTGGACTTGTTCCAAGATGTCTTGATGATGTTTTGATACCTACCGGTTCAAACTGTATTCCTATTGGCTGGAATGTTTATAACAGTGTTCCGTTTCCCTTTACAGATCGCCGGCAATAACTTGTGGCACCCTAGGCGAAGCATTTTGGAGTACCTGCAAGTGATGATTTTTGCCAACCTCTTTGCTATCGCCAGTAACGCGCAGTTCGTTTCGGATGTCAAGGAGCTGGTGCTGAATCTCTTAGAAGATGAGCAATTAGAAGTAAGCGAGTTCATGTGTAACGCCACCTGACGTGTTAAGCGCCAGTTATGAGTATTCTGCTGCTACAGCTTTTTGTAATCAATGGCAAAAACCGAAAAAATATATAGATTCTCTAACGAGATTTCGTAAAACGCGTTTTCCTGGTGATTTATTGTTTAACTCTTTTACCCCAAGGAGGGACAGGTTTCTAATATCTCCTCAGATTATGACCCCTGAATCAAACATCCGGGTAACAAGAATTAAAGCAATGATCACCCACCAAAGAAGCTCTTGATTGCAATACAAGTTCTCCTTGTCAGTACCTTAAGATGATGGAAGTGAGTTAGGGGTCAAACTTTTTTTCCCCTCAGGTTCGTGAGACGGCAGCAGCAACTTTCAGTGGCCTCGTTCACTATGGTTTCTTTGACCTTGATGATGAACTCCAGGTAAGATCAATTTAGTCCCAACTTTAAAGAATGTCAGTGAGTGCTGAATTACAGGGAACGTGTCATCGGACTGAGAGCCTGCCATAGGCTGATTTACTGACTTGATTTATCTATTACAGAAACAATTTACTAAGATGGCGAACACTAAGCTCAAGAAAAAGAAAAAAGGTGTGGATGGTGCAAACGGACTCAACTATGACGCAGGTACCGTGGAAGAAAGAATTATCTCATTCTGGTCGTATTTCTGTTTCATCTCCTTTCAACAACGATGGTTTGGACTTTTTTTCCTTATTAATCAACGCAATTCAACTCTATGTATAAATTTATTAAAACGTTGCCTCTGTCCTCGACAATACGTGGAGAGGTAAATTTTGAGTCGAACATCGTAAAACTGAGAATAAGACAGTGCAGCCGCCGACCATTGAAACTCCAAAGATCACAAAAAATAAACGGGGTGGCGGAGCATAATGTTGGACCAGTATCAGGGAGTTATTACGATGACTTTCCTATGGATAGTCAGTAGGTCGAGGAATCGTGAAAAAATTATTCTATTTTGGGATTTTAACTTCAGCCTTGATCCATCGTCACGCCGGAGTGTTGGGGTTAGCTAGTTGTGTCCAGGCCTTCCCCTATGATGTACCGTCCTGGATGCCACAGATCTTGTTGGACCTGGGTGACCACCTACACGATCCACATCCGATACAGGTAAGGCAAGAAATGGAAAACTTGATTACAGTATTTGGAACTGGTTAGGAATGGAAATGAGCACAAAAGCCATCGTTTAAAGAAAAACTTGTGAGTTTGCCTTTAGTTAACTGTATGTGACGCTCCTCGATGGCATTCCAAGTCTCTTGTTGAAGTTAAAGTAACTGAGAAGAACTTTTGTCTTTCACCATTCAAGGTGTATTTAACTCCGTCTGTGACAGGAACCTAGGTGTCTAGCTATTCAGATGAAAGCGCGAGCAGACTATCGTAAGTGCTGCGGTGCAAGCCGCGAAGTCTGGGAGATTCGAGCTGGCAAATGAAGTCAGTTTGCGAAAGATCCGTGAGTGGGTACAATCGAAGCCACATAGTATTTTAATCAATACATATCGATCGTCAAGTCCTTTCTTTTTTTCCTTATCAGGCCACTGTCAAAAAAGTCATGTCGGACTTCCGTCGTACCCATCACGACAACTGGCAGGAACATAAACAGAAATTCACCGAAGATCAGCTACTGGTGTTAACAGATCTACTGGTGTCCCCGTGTTATTACGCCTAAACAGCAAGTAAATGTTTCTTTTATAGCCCTCTGATTATTCTATTCTTTACCATCAAAGCCCTTCTCTTTTAGCGCTGCCTCGACTGTTACTATGAACGGTTTTATTTTCAAGTGCTCCAGCTGTTTTTAGACACGATACGACGTCACAGTGAGATTAGTCTGACGTAATCGCATGTTCCTCACGTGATCCTGTTGAGTGGATCATATCTGTGCCAAGCGCAGCATCTCGTTGTGGAGATGAAATTAAGCTTGAAAATAAGTATAACAAAGATTGAAATCGTAGTGAAAACTGAACGACAAATTTATCTTGAACTCTCCTTATCGTAACTTTTAGTTGTTTTAAACTTTAATAAACTTACCTTTTAAACTTTAAAAAAACTTTACCTTTCATAAAGCAGTGGACACACTTCCGCATGCTCGAAATTTTTCGTAACCATATCGTCTTCAGGTTTTTAACTGGCAGGAGCAAAATCACTTTGAACCCCAGAGTTCACGCTGTATTGATGTGTTTTTTTCTTTTTTTGTCTATTTTTTGTTTACTTCGCTCTCTTGATGGACTATGCGAGGAGGAAGGATTGCTCTTCTTTCGATACAGATAATAAACTATTTACAATCTCTCCTTTGAACTAATGTCTGTGACAACTACTTTTGAGTACGTAAAAAACAAGATGAACCAAAAATATTTTTTGTGACAGGAATGACCTTGTTCTAGGCCAAAGACGACGCACTAGGCAGACTTGGTGTAGTTTCGCTTTTCGATGTTCGTCCCCCTAAATGATTAGAGGGAAAGGTGAATGGAAAGTCTCTCCTCCATGTTATAGATATTTAACTCCCTGAAACCCAGAAAGTGAAGAGATTTTTTGCTTTAAACACGAAGGCGCGCTATAAAAGGAGCCTTAGGTCCCACTGGACCATTTGTCAATCAACCGTCGTGTGATGTACAACTCTTAGAGTCAAGTCAGCTTGAGCTACAGTTACTCCAAAGCAGTGAACAGCGGGCGCATTCCTCAAAATTGTTTTACGTCTTCATCACATTATAAGAATTTTTGAGATTTGTTTTTCCTTTCTCAAATGGAAACTCTATTTATGACGGTAAATTTGAGATCGAAGTAGGTGGTTCGCACGTTACCTCATGCCACCATGCTGGTGGAAGAAAACAATAGATATCTCATTAGCTCCTTTTGTTCGTCTACCAACATTTAAATTTGACCCGCACACGTCAACGGTGAGTGACAAATGAGCCTAGGTCTTCCCAGGGAAGACTTCCTTATATAGCGCGCCTTCGTGTTTAAAAAGCAGCAAATACTGAGACATGAACTTACTAGGATCCAAAATCCTCGCGTTATTTATCCTTCTGATTCACTATCACCGTGACTTAAAAACTCCTCATGGAATTGGTATTTGAACATCTGATTGAATCGGATGTACTAGGTAAATTAGCTCAATTTCCATCATCGGGGATAAATGTCATGTGCGGTCGAACGTCTTTCAAACGTTCCTGCCTATAACAAACAACAAATGGTACTCTTGGCTTGAGTTTGCTCTGAAAAGTCTCTGTAAATTAGTCTCAAGTTGTGATAACTTGTCGCCACTTTTATATGCCCTTCGCCGTAAATTTCCCTTCTTATCTTAAGCGCCATCTCATGACATTGTTTGGCTTGAGTGTACTCTCTAAGGTTACGGTAAACATTTCCCAGGTTGTTATAGCTCCCTGCAACGTCCGCGTGCTCCTCGCCGAAAACTTTTTTCCTAATTTCCAGTGCTTTCTTGTGATATTCCATCGCACGATGGTATTGTTGAAGATCATTGTGAACATTCCCCAAGTTATTGTAACTTCTTGCTATTTCAGCATGTTCGTCTCCGTAAATCTTCTTTCCAATAATCACTGCCTTTTCGTAGTATACTTTTGCTTTGTGGTGTTGTCGAAGGTCACTGTAGACAACACCCATGTTGTTATAGCTTGTTGCCACGCACGGATGTTCTTCCCCGTAGATCTTTTTGGTAATGGTCAATGCTTTCTTGTAGTATACCTTAGCTTCATTGTAGTCTCCAAGTTTGCGAGAGACGTTTCCCAAGTTGTTGTAACAGCCTGCCATGTAGGCATGTTCCTTTCCATAAACAGCCATGGAAATATTTGTGGATTCTTCCAGGAATGACAAAGACAATTCGTATTCGCATTGCAATGTTAGCACCCTACCATGAACGGCAAGAATGTCTGCTTTCAGTGTTTCAGTTTCCTTCGCGTTTCCCATGTACTCGATGAGTCCACAGGCAGATGAAGAAAAAAGAATCGCATCAGATGGCTTGCTTAGATCACAACAGACAGCAGCAGTTGTCGAAAGCCACGCAGCTATACCGGCAGGAGTGATAGAAGACGCTAGTGTTTTCACCAAATCATCTCTATTTTCAAACGTAGTCGTAAGGACGTCATGCAGCGCTTTACAATGACTCGTCACTCGCCCTAGCTTTACTCATGCTTGACCTTTCGTGAATAAATGGCCACACTCTGAGAGAAGAACCTGGTGCAAACTCCTTATTGAGTCTGGTAAGGCCTTCCGGGCCTCAGAATGAGTCTTCCAAGTTGCTTTGAGCAATTCGTGCACTATTTGGTGCACTTTGAAGTACTCTGGAGCTTCATCGTCTCCGCGAAAGCAAATGATCAAAGAAGATTTCAAAATCTTTGCTTTGATCAGCTCTTTCGTTGGTCTTTTGTGGGGCTCTTTCGTGGGTGTGGCTGTGCGAGCTTTGATGAAACTAGCAGCTGCTTCAACTGGAAGGGATTCAGAAGCACACAGAGAAAGAAGACAGAACGTCTGACGAAGAACTTCATCGTTTTTCGAAGCATTGTTTAAAGCCATCTTTAAAGCAGTGGTCAGAGTTTTCGAGTAAGCTCCATTTTCCTTTGCAAGCGGTTCTTCGGTACCTTCACGTTCGCCTCGAGAAAATGTTTCTAGATAATCAGGCCATGTGTAATTTGGAGAGCCATGTCCAACAACAGTGCAAACGTAAAATGCAGCAGCTGCTAAGGCGAGCGGCTGAAATCCAAGAACTTCGGCAACCTCCTCAGCCCGCTTGTGGTTCGAGATTTGAGATACCTGCTTGAGCAGCTCCAGAGCGTCCTCTCTTTGCATCCCTACGCTGAGCGATTCATGGTATGTATGAGGAGCTCTTGTTGGAATGGCACTGGTATCTTGAGTTGTAATTAGAACCTGGCCGTGACCACACTCTTCGCTGGCAGTCTGGGGTAGAGAGCCACGGACCATGGACAGGTCCTCCACGTTATCAGCAATAATCAACCATTTACAGAACTGCCTCATTTTGGGAAAAATTAAACTTTTAAGATGTTGGATTGTTTCCTTAGGACTGCTATCTTTCCAGGTCGCAAGCTGAGTTAAGGTGTACTCTGTCACTCCCAACTGTTTAGCCAGAGTGATGTAAGAATCTGCAAGAGTCTCGAGAGTTTCTGCATTCATGGTTGCGACGAATGTTTCACCGTCGCTCTCATCTGATGAAGTTGTGAAGAATTCTTGTCCAATCTGACGAGCAATTTGACTTTTCCCACAACCAGGACTTCCTGACAAGTAGACAGTACTGACTACGCCTTTGCAGTCATTTTCAAGCTTCTGCATTTCGGTTAAAATTCTTGCAACATCATTTGTACGTTTGACTATTTGATGAGAGGGCTTGAATGGCAGGTGACAGAAAGATGCGACTTTGGAATTTAACTCGTCAGTGAGACATTGGACCTGTTCTTGTTCTCGTTGTATGGTGTCTTCTGCCTGCTGTAAATCATACATGAGACTTCGAACCTGTTTTTCCGAGGCACTAGAATTCGACTTTGCTCTCTTTAATTCCTCTTGAAGTATATTAAGCAGTACCATTAGGCGATTAACTTCAGCAGTAGGAAAGCTCGTCTGATTTTTTACTTCTTCAATATAACTGGTTGGAAGATTCAAGGAGCTGACATCAACCAAAACTCTTCCAATGCATTTATAAAATTCGGCATCGGTAAATTGGGCCTCAGTTTTATGGGCAATGTAATTCCTGAACTCTCGAAGGTCATCAACATTTGTCCTTGCCGACCCACTTAGGGTAGTCCCAATACTATCTGAGAACAGGATGGCGAAGAACAAACAGCTGCAGTCCCACTCTGCGGTGTTACCATTTTTGATCGTTGCTAGTAATCGCGCATTCTTTGAACGACTTTTCTTTGATTCGCTGTTAAAGAAATCGCGACCATTCTGTGTTGTGTCTTTCCATTCTCCAAACCTTCCTTTGTAACGGATATCCCATTCTGATTTGAACATGCTTCGAAGACTTTTTGGAACCAGGTCAAATACGATGTAACAAATTCGAAAAAAGTTCAACTGTTCTGTAGTGTACTCCATCGTGACTGAATTTCTGCGGAGAAAATTAAGTGCACCATTGAAGTTAAAAAAAAGTGCCGACGAAATTTAGGGAGGACCGTTTATTTTAGTAAGCGAGAATAAATCTCTCTCAAAACTTCAGTTCAGATAAGTTTTTAGATCATTAACTATGTGTTAAAATAAGATGAGAGGATTTATCACATAGTATCAACGTAAAGGGTTTGCCGTTGACCCCTAGTAAATTTTGTAGTCGAACTGTTCAGGGCTTTGTTTTTCGTTTGCATTTTTTATCTTTATGAAATGAGAAATCCATTTCTAAAACGCGTGACTTAAAAACGACTTCCTCTCTTCAACGCCACTTCTTTGTTGCGGGAAACGGGTTTTACAATCGCTTTGTTTTCAAGCCCCTCTACCTATCCTCTATTTGGTGCCAGAATATGCACGGATATTTCTCCGCAGACGTTATCTGTTCCAAGATGCGAACAGTTTTCCGAAAGCGAAGCTCGAGGAAAACTGTGAGCCTGGAGTAACAGATAGTTGTTGATTATCCTTCTGATACTTTGCAAAGCGCGTGAAAAAATGATCATGAACAGCTTACTGTTTGCAGCGTGGAAATTTTTCTTTGCTCTGGTAAGACTAATGAACGATTACATATTTCCCTTCTTCTGTGAAACCCCAAAAAAACTCTCTCATCTTGAATTAATTTTTAAACGAAGACTCATCGCAATGGACGTAAGATTTGAAAATTGGGGAATATCTCTTAGCTTGGGTGATTTCCTAAGATATCCCCCAGTTTTAGCCGGGGAATATTCGGTCACTTGATGCCTTTAGAGCAAAAACATTTGGTGGATCATAGCTCTTCGTTTGCTGAGCGAACCACACAAAACTTATGTGTCATTACACCCCTTCCTCCCTATGACGACTTCCCCTCGACAACGATCAACTCCCCCTCCCCCCGTCCCAAAATGGCGGTGGTGAGGAAAATTTGCTTAATGTTGGAACCAAATACAGCTATAGAATAAGAAGGTTAATTCAAAATTTAATTACAAGGTTAAGCTGATTGCTTCGTTCTGAAAATCTAGGCAAAAGGTCGTTTTCAAGCAAGCCCTCGGTGCGGCCTCAATCAGCAGTAAAGTCTGAAAACCGTCTCATGTGTCAACCCCAGATTTCACGAATTTTCGACATCTTGAAGCCTCCACTTGCCAAGACTCATCCCTCCTCGTAATAGATTTGACTCAGCATGACTTCTTCCTATTGTCACGCAGGTCGTGAATCAAATATTTCCTATTCACAGCAGATTTCCCTTTCTTCCGGGCAAAAAAAAAAACACTGAATTTGTAAATTATAAATAGAACGCTCTAGCACGGCGGTTTTGTCCAGATAAGAGTAGAAAAAAGTCTGTCATTTCTTTAACTTGATACGATCTAGCCTGTTACAATTGAGAATAAATTTTGTCATTTCAGTCTGAAGAAAATTATAAAGTCATTCACGGGAAGAATGAAGTGCGTCGGGTATACAAAAAGTTACTCACTTGAGTGATATTGAAGTTGACTTTGTGCATTTGAAACGAATGTTACAGTCTGTTCCTGTTTTTAAACAACTTAAATTTCACCCAAAAAAACTCCTTGTCATGACCCTGAGTGAACGTAACAGCTTTTGGCATTTGTTGGTCATAATCGTTTGAGGGATCCTTTAATCATCCAGTGCCCACAAACAACAATACAGCAGCATTGAAATCGTAAAAACAGTTAAGAAGAAAGCTAATTCTGGAGAACTATTTTCGTCTGGAAAGCTAATCCCAAACAAAGACTCCGTCTGTGACACCAACCATTAAAACTGAATTAATTAAAAACATCTGACACATTATCCTACTATTCGCCTGAACGCAGTAACAGTATTAACGTTCCTTCTCTTGAGAGTAGCCTTTTCAGATTATACTTACATTTAACTACTCCTGTAGACTTTCGTATCTTTTGGTATCCATCCACAAAGGAGAGTGTCGGAAAAAGATGGCACGAAAAAGGACTACGATGTGCTGCTTCAGCGTCATTCGATATCCGGTATCCAGTGGTATATGATATCTAGTGGTATATGAAAGGTTACCTAAAGGGCACTTACCTACCGGTTTTATCATTCTGAAAAAAATTTCCCAAGTGGGTTAACCCCACTATGAAAACCAATGAGCTGTTTTAACAGGAAAGATTGAGCTATTTTAGGGAAGTAATTAGACGATTATTTGTGGGCATCATTCAGATGATAAGGGCCGCTATAAAAAGCCTAAGTCTTCTTATTTTTAGATCAGATTTTTCCCTTTCCATCGTCAAGTTATATTTAGTTATCGATAACTGCATTAGGCTTCAAGCCTTTCAATTATTTCATTGATGAGTGAAGTTTTCCGGCTATTTTAGAAACTTGTATTTGGGTGAAGTATTTACCTATTTTCATACCGAGGCCAACGCATGTTCTTCTCCCACAAAAGGTTTACTTATAAGCGCAACCGAAGCGCAAGCCTTATTGTGGACACATTTATAAACTGATTCACCCCAAATGACAATAACAGATGATTTTGTTGGAATAGATTCGGCCCAGATTGTGGCAAGTCAGATTGAAAAATTAGCTAACTGATAACACAAGAATAAAAGTTGAACTGTTTAATTTCCTCACGGATCATAAATGGGGAAACAAAATTCTGCCCATTAAAGTCAGAAACCGCTGGACGGTGGTCAATAAGGAAAAGAGATGCGAGAAAGATCTCTGGGAATCTGTTCGATCACATGACAGGGAGAAGAAAGAAGAGTACCAGCGTAAAACTGTATTTGATAACCGCGCTTATTGCCAACTCTAATCTGATTGGCTAAACTTATGCTACGATCATTTTGCGGTACATTCCACGCCACCACCACCAGATTACCACGTGAGCACCATGCCTCCTCACAAACAAATCATTTTGGGCCATAATGTTTGCTCATATCCTTCCATTCCTATGCCGCCGCAGTATTTTTAACTCCCCGCTAATTTCACAATTGAACACAACGTGGATGGGCTCTGAAGGAAAGCTCCACGAGTGAGCAGCGTGTTGGCTTTGAAATCATGGTTGACATTTTGGAACTGTGCAGTACGTACTTTAATGACCACTTGCCATTCAAAATTCGCCGTAATCCCAAAGTTTCCTTGCATCCCCGCAATTTGTGCGAGCACATAAGACGGTACCAAACGCAAAATTATCTCCAAGGTAACTTGCACCGCAGTTGCTTGTTCAAAACGACTCACAAGGCGTCAAAAACTCAAGCAATGGGGGCCATATTTGTGTTCCGCGGGTGACGCTATATCGAAGGCGTTTGTCGAGGGTCGAACACACAAGTTTATGAGATAGAATAAATATATGAAAATCATATATTTTGAACTGC